CTCCCCTTGGTTATTAGGCTTAATCAAAGAAGGCATACAATGGCTTATTATAATTATAATGCTATTGCTAGGGTTAGGCTTTGTATGGAATTTGCTGCAGAAAGGCATATCGAGTCTTGTTCGCAGAGTTTTATTTGTGCAAAAGGAAAAAGGGGGAATTGTGGGAGCTCGCTGAAAACAGGCATGGAATGCTAGAGGGCCTGCACAGGGAAAACTGTTGAACAGTTTGTCTAAACTAACATAGTAGGCCTCAAGGACACTTCAACCTTGAGGGTCAGAATAGAAGAATTAGAAGCTAACATCCGTATGAGGCGGAACACATTAGTATTAATAGTAAAGTGATAGGTAGAAGCAGATGACTGATGTATGTGTAGCACAACTGGAGTTTATGAAAAACTGCAAGTCATGATGACTTTGGAAAATTATGCTATATAAGAAAGTGCATCTGCACACTAAAATGAGTTTCCTGATATAACTCATATTGAGTCTTTTGTGGATTCTCCAAACTCCCGTCTCCGCAGAGAGGGATTAAAGGACTGCATAATGAATAAAGAGGGGTGACACACTAGGCATTGAGTCAATGTCCACTGAAACCTCTACAGCTCACCTGCTTTTTACAGCTTTTTGCAGCTCACCTGCTTTTTGCTGCCTCAAGATGAGATGCTTAATAAACTCTCTCTTCACTGGTTATAAAGGCAGACAGGTAATTCCCTAGACTGTTAGCTCCTGAGACAAGTGTCCAGAGAAGTGGGATGAGGCGCCCACTCTCTCCATTGATTGCTGAGGAGGGCTGGATGTCTGCCATTTAGATGGGTAGACAAAATGAATCCCTTTCTGAATAGCTCCTCTATGGTTGCCTTGTCTGTTTAGTTCTGCAAGTGAAGAATATTTCTTTCCCTCTCCTATCCCAACATCTAACAGCATGAGATTAAATATAATAGAGGACAATGTCAGCATATATCTACAGAGAAAAAACCCTAGAAACGGGCATATAACTGTGCCCGAGCAAGTAAAATCAATTACCTTTCTCATTCCTTTCTCATACAGGAATTTCCCCAGCTTTTTACACAGCAGTGAGAGCATCTTACCGACACGGTGCAGAAAAACAATATTCAGAGGGATTCCAAACAGAGCAAAAAAGACACAGAAGATCTGGCCCCCAGCAGTTTTAGGACGTAGCGTGCCATAGCCTATGAAAAAAGATGGGTTAGAGGAGATAGTCCATGGTCACATTCACACCTACCCCCAACCTGGACTGCCTTTGACCCCAAAAGATGTCACTAGCACTTCTCAGTCCATTTGAACTCTTTTTCCTCTGAAAAAGGCAGTAAACAGACGAAGTGATTCATGCTCTATGTTTTGGGGATGCAAAGAGCACTGTGTACTCCCAACCCAGACGCAGTGGGAATGAAAGCACAATCTAAAAGCAGTTATGGGAATAACAGTCTGTCCTGTGACAAATACATGGAAAGATAGAAAACAGAAGCCTGGGGACCTGGAAGACATCAAGGCTGGAGTCCCAGGCTCTTTGCCATGTCAGAATCACATACAGCCATTTCTAGCTTCTTGTCGATCTGCCTGTGTGTTAGTGACCTCCCTGGCTAAATGCCCATAAGTGTGCATGTCCAGATACCGGCTGCAGTGCAGTGTCCATTAGAATAGACATCCTAATTAGTCCAGACCTTAGTGGTGGCTGATTTATCCACGCTAGAGAGATATTTGTCTTAAAGTCCAAAGAGGATTTAACGAAGCAGTGGACAATGGCTGCAGAACTCCAAACATGGTCTTTAATGGACTAGAGACTTTGTTGCTCTCAGACCCCATGACGTACATCCCTGAGTGCAACAGTCTCATACTTTGTGTATATGTTCTTAATTTACCGGTGACCCTGAGAAAAGGCACTTTCCTGAGCACAGTCCATCTCAAGGCATCCTTTACTTGGAAAATGCAACGTTTTCTTCGGGGAAAAAGACAAATAAAACAACTGTGTGATTTGTTGGCTACTAGGCCCCAAATGCTTGAGCTGTCTTGTACTCCCTGTTGCAGATATTCTATTTTCATGACAATACTCGGTGAAGTTTTGAAGTACCTGATTTACCTTCACAACAGACCTCTGCAGCGAAGGTGCAGAGAAACAGGCAAAGCTTCACTTTTCCTGAGTCAGCCTGTGTGCCTGTGCTGGTTTTGGCTGCGATAGAGTTAATTTTCTTCATGGCAGCAAGTACGGGGCTATGTTCTGGATTTGTGCTGGAAACAGTGTTGATAACACAGAGGTGCTTTCGTTATTGCTGAGCAGTGCTTGCACAGACTCAAGGCCTTTTCTGCTCCTCACACCACCCCACCAGCGAGTGGGCTAGGGGTGCACAAGAAGCTGCAGTGGGACACAGCTGGGGCAGCTGACCCCACCTGACCAAAGGGATATACCATACCGTATGGCGCCATGTTTAACATGTAAAGCTGGGGGAAGAAGAAGGAAGGGGGTGACATTCAGAGTTATGGTGTTCTGTCTTCCCAAGTAACTATTACACGTGATGGAGCCCCGGTCTCCTGGAGAAGGCTGAACACCTGCCTGCCAATGGGAAGTAGTGAATGAATTCCTTGTTTTGTTTGCTTGCGTGTGTGGCTTTTGCTTTACTTATTAAACTGTCTTTATGTCAACCCACACTTTTTCTCATTTTTACTCTTCTGATTCTCTCCCCCATCCCACTGACAGGGGGGACTGAGCAAGCAACTGGGTGGTGTTTAGTTGCTGTCTCAGGTTAAGCCACGACACTGCCTCACTAGGGAAACAAACTTGACAGGAAGCGATGGATTTGTTTGGCAGAGAAATGCTGTGGTGAAAAAATACAGTAATACAGGTGGTGGCAAGGAGTGGATTGGCTAGTAGCAGGGTGCTGGCAAACTAGAGAACCTTTATCGATATGTGAATGTTGTTGTAACCTTGGAACATTTGTCATTGATGCGATGGGTCAGAAGCCTTTCTTCTGCAGCAGGAGGTCTCCACATGGGATCATGCAACACCTACACACCTGCCATGGTGCTAGGACACCACTGGGGCCATTGTGACATGTCACACCCACGGATCAGTGGAGCAGCTATGCCTAGGGTGTAGTGGGAGTAAGGCCTCAGCTTCATTCGGCAAAACATAGATTTGACTTTCACTGCATGAGTGTGAAGCAGGAGACAAGAACATGGATTTTATACTTAAATTTGGCAGTCCTGCACTTTTTGGGAGGCATATTTGAGAGAAAGGGAGAGGCAGGCAGGGCCAGGCAGCCCCTGAAAAGATCAGAACAACTTGAAGCAGCAGTGTAAAGGTCTCAGCATTTGCTCTGCCCCCTTCCCATTTTTTTTTTCTCCTAGAGTATTACTAATTCGGTATGTGCACTAACAGCCCACCACAGGTTATTGAGATAGTGTCCATGCCCCAGCAGAGTTCACCTCTTTCCTACCATTCTTTTATGCTTCTCAGCACTCTCATATTTAAAGTCTATTTGATGCTAGAATAAACACCAGCAAAATTTATCCCCCACCCACAACTGGCAGCAAAGCAAACATTTTAACAGATGGCTTGAAAAGAAGAGACAAGTGGGAAATAATATGAAAGGCCACTGGTATTTCACAAGCCAAAATAATGCACAAAGAGCTGTGCAGTGATGAGGTCTCAGGACCAAGTCTGTTGCTGCTTACCAGCTCATGAAGGGCTGGAGTTTTTATCCCTGAAAGTATTATCTGTTCAAGTCCTAATAATCAGCCATAATAAGCATCACACACACACAAACACACATACATGGAAAGAATTAGACGTACCTATAGTGGAGACAACTGTGCCTGCAAAGAAGAAGGAGTTACTGAAATCCCAGTTGCTGTCTTCAATCTGTGATTCATTTCCAACAGGGTATACTCCATTCTGAATGGCTTCAGTCAGGTTCTGGGAGGGAAAGCAGTTTGGTATCAACCTGTCTGCTTTTCTCAAGTACTTACTGCAAGAACACTACAGATTTAGCTAACTCCTGCTCCTTTCCTGTGAATACCACTGACCAGTCCTCAGCAATACTCTGACACTATTCACACCTTTACCTCCAAGGCTGGGTAGCAGCCAGTCAGTGTTTTTTGAGTCTTAGTCTTTTGCACTGTTTATGCTGACTGCTCTAGTGGGTGTTAGAACTTGTTTCTTTTAGCATGATCGAGGACCTCAATTCTTTTAGGCTAAGTATTTTGGAAAAAATGATCCTACAGATGACAGAGTAAGACAGCCCACTGGCTTAAGTGATGGGGTGGCTGGTTGCTGGTTTTGAGTTTGCGCTTGAGAGGGCCGTGGTGAATCCAAGATCTAATCACCCACCTGTATGCAGGTGCACTAAGCAGTGACTGTGATCCTTCCCAGGAGGGCATCAGTGAGTTATAGCAGGGTACACATGACATACACAGACAATTTCATTTTAAGGCTGTATTCTGATTAGCGTCACAGAGTTAAATTCAAAGAAAGTCCATTAATATGCAAAGCGTTACTCTTGCTGCCACCACAATCAGAATTCAGCCTGACATGCATGCTCTTCTCCAAACTGCATGCATGAATACACATGCACATATTTACAATGAGATAGCCAAGCCCCTTTGAGATGAGGTTAGATGAACAGCAGTCAGAGATGGTTTGGGTTGAGTTGAGACTGCCCTGCCATAGGGGGCTTGACTAGATATTTCTCCCAAGTGCCTCCCTCCCTACCATAGAACCATAGAATCATTTTGGTTGGAAAGGACCTTAACATCATCAAGTCCAACCATTAAGCTAACACACATAAACCCACCACTAAACCATGTCCCTAAGCACCACATCTATACGTCTTTTGAACACCTCCAGGGATGGTGACTCCACCACCTCCCTGGGCAGCCTGTTCCAATGCCTGACAACCCTTTCAGTAAAGAAATTTTTCATAATATCCAATCTAAATCTCCCCTGGAGCAATTGGAGGCCATTGCCTCTTGTCCTGTCATTAGTTACTTGGGAGAAAAGACGAACACCAGCCTCACTACAACTTCCTTTTAGGCAGCTGTAGAGAGCGATAAGGTCTCCTCTCAGCCTCCTCTTCACTAGGCTAAACAATCCCAGTTTCCTCAGGCGCTCCTCATAAGATATGTTTTCCAGATCCTTCACCAGCTTCGTTGTCCTTCTCTGGACATTTTCAGACTCTTCTCTTCTTCCTTGGTTTTAATCCTCAGTGCTGTTATTTTCTTTAAAATTAAAAAAAAAAAAAAATAAAAAAGAACCAACAGTAACCAGCTGTCCCTGCCTTTATCAGAGAACATCGGACCAGACATCAGGAAGGAAGGCTGGTTTGAACAGAAACAGCCTAGATGATAGAATCCAGGGCTGAGCCCTGCCAGAGGCAAGACACAAGCTGGAATAAATGGCACCAGAAAAGATTTTTCCCCCGCCGCTTCCTCCTTCACTATCTTTTTTGCTGGTGTCCCAGAAAATCAAGGCTAACAGAAATCATTCCACAGCCCTTGCATAAAGATTTCACTGTCTTGAAAAGTTCCTCTTTTTTTTCTCCTCCTCTACCCACAAAAAAACAATCCAAGGTGAAGAAGGTGCATGCATATGTGAACTGGAGGCCGGAGCATTGGTTGTATTATTAGAAATACCAGTTCTTCCCCTCCTTTCTCTATCGTTTAACTGGCCCATTAAGAGCCTCATTAGTTTGCCATGCAGAAATGCTTACAGCAAGGCTATTTGCACTCCCCATTTTCTTCTGCATTGTAGCAGATAGAGCTAGGAAACACCAAAGTTGAAGAGATAACTGTACTCATTCTCAGATTCTTGTGCTGTGACAACAAACTCCTTTGCCTTGGCCGGGCTACCCGTTTTACTTCTGCAGCATCCTCAAAAATTAAACCCTGACTATGGTACCCTCCTTGTAGTGATCTGGGTTCCTTTTTTTTTCATTTCAGTCCTTGTTCTATTGTTCCTTTGTGCTATCTGTTACACTGTTGTAAGTGGCAACCATCCCCATTCATTTCAGACAGCCTCATTTTCCTGCCATGCCACCCCTTATAGATGAGCACAGCCCCACTAAAAGCCAAATCAACAGGAGGCAAGACCCCAAAGAATCAGGACATTGCAGGATGGGGACTGTTAATAGCTAACACACAGGTTTTGACAAGCTACACAAGCTGTATACACTACTATCAGTGTGACCTGCCTGCTTAGACCAGAGGGTGGGCTTGGGGTTTGCTAAAATCAGTAGGAATGCAGTGAAAGTTATTGGTGTAGAAAGGCTGAGTAGGAAACAACATCTGATGGGGAAATAGGAGAGAGAAAGGGCTTCCGCAGGGCTGGCACTTACCTTCATAAACTGCTCCATCTCTGCCACTGTGAGGCGGGTAAAGTTCTGCAGAAAAGCCTCCTTCATCTGGGCAGCTGCTATTTTCTCCTGCTGCTCAGCAGTCCTCTCCAGCGCCTGGAACACGGCTGCACCCACTAGCAAGTAGATGAAGTAGCCAGCCACCAGCAAACCCGTCTGCAGCTTGCCACTGCACATGGCCTTCAGTGGGATACAGCAAGGGACGGGGAGTGAAAGGTGGCAATTGGTAAATTGCTTGTGCTCCTGGGAAGCCTCCCCCAGGCAGGAAGAGCCCTCCCAGCTCTGATTTCCTCTGGGACCCTGCGCTGACAGGGACAACAAGCTGCCAAATACATTCACAGGGAAGTTAGGAAAAAAACTCCACAAAACAAACCCAACCCCCCCCAAAAAACTTTCCATGCTCTGGGCTGCATGCTGTTTAGGGATTTCCTCTTGTCTGTGAAACTCTGCCTTGCTGAGTTCTCAGGAAAAGTGGGTCAGGATGTGAGGAGCTGGCAGGTGGCCATTGCCTGGTCAAGAGGCTCTGGGGACAGGTGAGGAGAGCCTGCAAAGGGCCCACAGGGGAGCTTGCTTGGAAAAACATTCTTTTCCCTCCTCTGCCTCCTGCTAACTCCTAGAAATGGACTCCAGGGCAAGCCCAAATGACCCCAGAAGCCCCTTCTGGCCCTGTGTTCAGGGGCAGCTTTAGGGAAATGCAGCTGGGCTGCTCTCCTGGGCTTCACTTTTCCGCTTGCAGCAGAGAGTAGGGTCATGCAGCTCTGCATGGCCACAACAGCTTGCAGCAAAACCTTGGTCATAGAGGCAAATGGCTGCAGGCTGCATATGTACCAGGCCTGGACAAGTTGTTCTGCCAACATTTCCTATGCAGTATCCAAGAGAGGACATTACAGTGTCGCTGGGTGCACAATTGGATGGATAAAAAATGGATATGCCACCACATTCATAGAATCATAAAAAACTTTTAGGTTGAAAAAACCCGTTACGATCATTGAGTCCAACTGTTAACCCAGCACTGCCAAGTCCACCACTAAACCATGTCACTAAGCACCACGTCTACACGTCTTTTAAATACCTCCAGGGATGATGACCTGGCACATGGCCTTGTTGAACATCATACAGTCGGCCTTGGCTCATTGAGCCAGTCTGTCCAGATCCCTCTGTAAAGCCTTTCTACCCTCAAGCACACCAACTGTTCTGCCCAACTCAATGTCATCTGCAAACTTACTGAGCGTGCACTCGACCCTCTTGTCCAGATCACTGCTAAAAATATTAAAGATATTCAGAGGTCAAAGGTTAATGGGTTGTACTTTGCCTTGTGTAGTGTAGCACTGCAGGAGTCTTCCCTGAGGTCTGTCCTGTTAAACATCTTTATATGTCACCTGGAGGAGGTGACAGAATGCACTCTCATCAAGTTTGCAAGTAACAGGAAATTGAGAGGACCAGGGTATGTGCTTGTAGGCAGGGCTGTCACCTACTAAGGCTGGAGGAATGGGCCAACAGGGACTTTATAAAATTTGACAATGCAAAGTCATGCCCCTGGGACAGTGGAACGCCTTGCAAAGGTACAGGCTGAGGACTGCCTCACTGGTGGATCAATTCTGGGAAAAAGAACCTGAGGGTCCGAGAGGTTGCACAGTTTCCATCCTTGGAGATTTTCTAACACCCAGCTGGATAAAACCATGAGCAATCTGTTCTGACCTCAGAGCTGATGTTGCTTTGAGCAGAAGGTTGGACTAGAAACCTCCTGAGTTTTCCTGTGATGTCATGAAAGACTTCATTATAGAGAAGTCCTTTTGGAATCAGTACACAGATGCTTTGTTTGCTGAGGCCCAGAGATCCAGTCTAGGCAAAATCCCCATGAATGTCAGAGGCATGTCAGCCTTTACAACCTTTAGGATTAAACCTGTAGGTTTTGAGGTTCTTTCTACAGTTTTAGGGCATACCAAGAGGTTGGCACAGTGTTGTCATCTGACATGATATACTGGGCCTGACTAGGACAGAGTTAATTTTCTTCATAGCAGCTCATATGCCACTGTGTTCTGGATTTTTGACCAAAACACTGCTGGTAACGCATTAATAGTCTAGATTTGCCGAACAGCATTTGCACAGCATCAAGGCTTTCTCTGTTTCTCACTCTGTCACCCTAGTGAATAGATGGAGTTTGTGCAATACGTTGGGAGGGGACACAACCAGGCAGATTAGCTGAACTAACAAAAGAGATATTCCATACCACGTAATGTTATGCTCAGCAATAAAAGGGAAAAGAGGGGGCTTTAAGGGGATTAGCCATCTTTTGCTTGGGAACTGGCTGGACAATGGTCTATCCACAGAAATTGGTGAGTGATTGCTTTGCATCACTTGTTTTGTTTTCTTCCCTCTCCTTCCACTTATCCTTCACTTATTAAACCATTTCCTTGTTTGATTATTTGTTTTATCTTGACCCCCAAGTTTTCTTGGTTTTATTTTTCCTTTCCTCTTCCCCTGTCCCACTGCGGGTGGGGGGAGAAGTGAGTGAGCAGCTGCGTGTTGCTTATCTGCTCACCAGGGTTAACCCACAACACATGCCCTGCCTGTTTGTTTCTCAGTGGCAGGAACAGTGGATGACCCTAAGGGTCTGCATGTGTCAATGAATTCCTAGGCTCTATTTTTTTCTGACATGACCAGATGATGAGTATAGAAGAGTGCTTTGCAGACAGTCACTAATGCTTCTGATTCTGAGTCTGCCTGGATTGGTTCCCTAATCACTCCCTGGAGTGTTTCCCTTAGGAGAGGACTCCACTCAGTGGCTGAAAATCTTTGTGCCTTTCCAAGAGTCTGATCATGTTGGTTTCCCACAACAGAAAACTAATACCAAGGCCTGCCCACTGCCCCCATCCAAGGAGCAAGGCAGGCCTGAAGATCCTCAGCAGGATCAATCACACCTGCAGATCATCAAGCAGGTTCATGGTGGTGAGGCAAGATGAGTACAAGCCAGGAAGTCAACCTGGAGCCCAGAGTCATGTCCAGGGATGGCCAGGCAGGGCTGTAAGGACAGGGTCGGGCGTAGGACGGGCTGCCATGTTGGCCCACTGCAGGGCCTGGCTTGTCAGGGCCACGGCCAGGCCGGGCAAGGCCGGGGGAAGCTGGAGACTGGCAACATACAGTGTCCTTGTGACAGGGACTGACAGCCCTGGTTTGGGCTAGAGGGGCATCCTGGGCCATGGACAGCTGGAGGGAAGTCCTGGCAGGCTGGTCAGGGCACTGGTAATCATGGAGGCAGTGTGTCTTGTAAGGCAGTTAATTAATACTTTTTGTTCTTAAGCTAGGAGAGACCCATGATGCAGTTAGGGGACCAGGGAAAGGGAAGCAATGCAGACTTCTCGCACCTGCATTATTTACTCAGTCCATTGCAGGGAAACCCACGTAGCGAGATCCGATGGTAATGGAGGGCAGGGAGCATTTCCTTCCCACAACATGATGCACTGGGACAGGGTTTTCTTACTCCAAGTCCTGCTCTCGCTCCTTCCCACTCCCATCATACCCACAGTCCAGCCATTTCCTTTTCCTATGTTATGGCGTTAGCTATCTTGCTGCATCCTTATGCATCCTGAGTCCTTAGGCAGATGATAACGCAAAATTAATTTCAGCTTAATGGAAAACGTTATCAGTTGCCATGGAAATACCTTACCATGTGATTGTGATTGTATTTCCTGTTGTGCTTAGAGCTAAAACCATTAGATGACCCTCTTTTTTACACTTTCTTACAGTTCTCCTATAAATATCTGTTACTCATAACTGCGGTCAGAACATTTAGTCTTCTAACATGGGTCATTTTGGGTTTTATGCCAGGCTATTAAACACATACGCTAACGCTTTCTTCTAACGGAAGTCCTCAGACTTCCTGGTTTGTTATTTAGGATCTGCAAAGCCAAATTCCCATGTATAACTACCAGCTCTCAAGGAAAAGGCCTGATTTCCATCAGTGAAGAAAATGCTGAAGCTCGTCTCTTGTCTTTGCTATCTGGCTAATAGTGAGATAAGAGCTCTAGCATGCAGGAGCTAAGGGCTGCCCAGCATGGAAAACTGCCCAAGTGCTCGGTGCCTCCTGGCCACAGTGTTAGCAGCTGTAAACAGCACCTCCTTTTGTTCAGTGATATATCTGCCATCACTAAGAGCTCATTTGGGGATCTGTGCTGGCTCTTTCTTTGGTCATCATGTACATTTGGGATTCACGTAATGCAGTTTTTCTACAAGCTCATCTACACTGTTGTCACCATTAAAGAAAAGACTCCCCCCTCATCATCAGCAGTGCCTTCTCCAACAACCTTTGGACAATGATTTTGTTACTGGTAGCTCCACCTGAAGACCTCCAGAGCAATGGAAACATGAGCACCATAAGGTCTTTCGCCTGCACAACAAGGTCACCAAGGCCATTTGATCCTCACTGTCACAACCAGAGCAACATAGAGAATTTGAGTTGGGAGAGACCTCTTGAGGTCTTTAGTCTAGCCCCCTACTCAAAGCAGGGCTAACACCAAAGTTAGGACATGTCTCTCAGGGCTTGTCCAGCTGAACATTTAATGTTGCCAAAGAAGGAGATTGCCCACTCTCTCTGGCTACCTCTTCCAGGGCTAATCTCCTCTCATGGCATACTTCCCTTGGTGCAATGTGTGACCATTGCCTTACATTCTTTCACTGTGCACCTCTGAGAAAAGACAGGCTCTGGGTAGTGGAAGACAGTAATTAGATAGAATTTAGAATCATAGAATGCATTGGGTTGGAAGGGACCTTTAAAGGTCATCTAGTCCAACTCCCCTGCAGTGAGCAGGAACATCTTTAGCTGGATCAGGTTGCCCAGAGCCCCATCAAACCTGATCTTTAATGTCTCCAGGGATGGGGCCTCCACCACCTCTCTGGGCAAACTGTTCCAGTGCCTTTACCACCCTTATAGTAAAGATCTCCCTCAGCCTTCCTTCTTGGAGAGGTGTGGTGCTGGACAGCTGTGGTGTGGTGCAGTGTATGGGGTGTCATCCTGCTACTTGTTGACAGAGTTTGTGGCATCAGCCTGTCGCCAAGCCAGGGCACCCACCTCTTGAAATCAATTGCCCCCAGAGCAGCTTCCACACACAGACAAGGACAGTATAACCTATGGAATCCTCTCTAGACATCGTGCTGTCCTTAACCACCCCTGCATGTAG